GGGCCAGCTTCGAGCCAACTTCGGCCATCTTGGTGGTTCCTGGCACGTCTGAAGCCGTCGGAAGCCGTTTGGGGGGCCTCTATGGGCCGACTGGGGGCCCGCTTGGAATGCTCCAGGGCCGTCTTGGAGGCCATCTTGGGCGTCTTGGAGGCCATCTTGGGCGTGTTGGAGGCCTCTTGGGCCCTCTTGGGGCCCTCTAGGGGCCATCTGGGAGGCCACTTGGGCCATCATGGGGCTCTCTTGGGGGCCTCTTGGGCGATCTTGGGGGCTTCTTGGGCCGTCTTGAGCCGTCGGAGAGCCGAAAAGGCGCAAATGCCAAAATCCTTCAAAAACCAATGGAAAATCCATGATTTGGGCCTCTTCGGACTCTCCTGGAGGACCTCTTGGAGGCCTCTTGGGCCGTCTGGGAGGCCTCTGGGGGGCCTCTTGGGCCGTCTTGGGCCGTCTTGGACTCTCTTGGGCCGTTTTGGAGGCCGTCTTGGACCATCTCGGGCGGACTTGGAGACCATCTTGGGCCATCTTCGCGATTTTTTGAGGACGTCCCGAGCGAAACTGCCGTTTTTGGGCATTGACATATGGATTTTGGGAAATTCGCGGGTGGCCGGCGGGACGGGCCGAAGCCCACTGGGGAGTTCTTTTAGAAAAAGAACCAAAACCAAAACCTGAATCATTCAGCACGCCGTGCACCCCTGCAAGCAGGGGGCGGCGGATCGAAGACGCCTACGGCGAATCACCGCCGCCCCCTGCCATTTTGGAAGCGCCTATGTGGCCGAACGTTGAGGCCAGACCTGCCAAGCTATCGGACCACGCGTTCCCCGAATCGGTTTGGAAAGCCTTCGGGAACACGTGGGCATCTTGAAGGTCATCTTGGCCGTCTTGGAGGCCTCTTGGGCAAGCTTTGGGCGATCTTTGGGGCTTTTTGGGCCGTCTCGGGCCAGCTTCGAGCCAACTTCGGCCATCTTGGTGGGTTCCTGGCACGTCTGAAGCCGTCTGAAGCCGTTTGGGGGGCCTCTATGGGCCGACTTGGGGCCCGCTTGGAATGCTCCAGGGCCGTCTTGGAGGCCATCTTGGGCGTCTGGGAGGCCATCTTGGGCGTGTTGGAGGCCTCTTGGGCCCTCTTGGGGCCCTCTAGGGGCCATCTTGGAGGCCACTTGGGCCATCATGGGGCTCTCTTGGGGGACTCTTGGGCGATCTTGGGGGCTTCTTGGGCCGTCTTGAGCCGTCGGAGAGCCGAAAAGGCGCAAATGCCAAAATCCTTCAAAAACCAAGGGAAAATCAATGATTTTGGCCTCTTCGGACTCTCCTGGAGGACCTCTTGGAGGCCTCTTGGGCCGTCCGGGAGGCCTCTGGGGGGCCTCTTGGGCCGTCTTGGGCCGTCTTGGACTCTCTTGGGCCGTTTTGGAGGCCGTCTTGGACCGTCTTGGAGGCATCATAAGGCCATCTTAGCCGTCTTAGAGACCATCCTGGCCGTATTAGAGGCATCTTGGAGGCCATCTTGGAACCGTCTGGGGCAGGAAATTGGGGAATTGAGCTCCTGGGCATCCTTTCCGGGTGGCCGGCGGGACGGGCCGAAGCCCACTGGGGAGTTCTTTTAGAAAAAGAACCAAAACCAAAACCTGAAACATCCAGCACGCCGTGCACCCCTGTGGCAAGACCACAGGGGGCGGCGGATCGAAGACGCCTACGGCGAATCACCGCCGCCCCCTGCATTTTTGGAAGCGCCTATGTGGCCGAACGTTGAGGCCAGACCTGCCAAGCTATCGGACCACGTGTTCCCCGAATCGGTTTGGAAAGCCTTCGGGGAACACGTGGGCATCTTGAAGGTCATCTTGGCCGTCTTGGAGGCCTCTTGGGCAAGCTTTGTGCGATCTTTGGGGCTTTTTGGGCCGTCTCGGGCCAGCTTCGAGCCAACTTCGGCCATCTTGGTGGGTTCCTGGCACGTCTGAAGCCGTCGGAAGCCGTTTGGTGGGCCTCTATGGGCCGACTTGGGGCCCGCTTGGAATGCTCCAGGGCCGTCTTGGAGGCCATCTTGGGCGTCTGGGAGGCCATCTTGGGCGTGTTGGAGGCCTCTTGGGCCCTCTTGGGGCCCTCTAGGGCCATCTTGGAGGCCACTTGGGCCATCATGGGGCTCTCTTGGGGGCCTCTTGGGCGATCTTGGGGGCTTCTTGGGCCGTCTTGAGCCGTCGGAGAGCCGAAAAGGCGCAAATGCCAAAATCCTTCAAAACCAAGGGAAAATCAATGATTTTGGCCTCTTCGGACTCTCCTGGAGGACCTCTTGGAGGCCTCTTGGGCCGTCTGGGAGGCCTCTGGGGGCCCTCTTGGGCCGTCTTGGGCCGTCTTGGACTCTCTTGGGCCGTTTTGGAGGCCGTCTTGGACCGTCTTGGAGGCATCATAAGGCCATCTTAGCCGTCTTAGAGACCATCCTGGCCGTCTTAGAGGCATCTTGGAGGCCATCTTGGAACCGTCTGGGGCAGGAAATTGGGGATTTGAGCTCCTGGGCATCCTTTCCGGGTGGCCGGCGGGACGGGCCGAAGCCCACTGGGGAGTTCTTTTAGAAAAAGAACCAAAACCAAAACCTGAAACGTTCAGCACGCCGCGTGCACTCCCTGGCAAGCAGGGGGCGGCGGATCGAATCAACTACAAACACCTCCCCGATCACCGCCGCCCCCTGCCTTTTTGGAAGCGCCTATGTGGCCGAACGTTGAGGCCAGACCTGCCAAGCTATCGGGCCACGTGTTCCCCGAATCGGTTTGGAAAGCCTTCGGGGAACACGTGGGCATCTTGAAGGGCATCTTGGCCGTCTTGGAGGCCTCTTGGGCAAGCTTTGGGCGATCTTTGGGGCTTTTTGGGCCGTCTCGGGCCAGCTTCGAGCCACCTTCGGCCATCTTGGTGGGTTCCTGGCACGTCTGAAGCCGTCGGAAGCCGTTTGGGGGGCCTCTATGGGCCGACTTGGGGCCCGCTTGGAATGCTCCAGGGCCGTCTTGGAGGCCATCTTGGGCGTCTTGGAGGCCATCTTGGGCGTGTTGGAGGCCTCTTGGGCCCTCTTGGGTCCCTCTAGGGGCCATCTTGGAGGCCACTTGGGCCATCAGGGGGCTCTCTTGGGGGCCTCTTGGGCGATCTTGGGGGCTTCTTGGGCCGTCTTGAGCCGTCTGAGAGCCGAAAAGGCGCAAATGCCAAAATCCTTCAAACACCAAGGGAAAATCAATGATTTTGGCCTCTTCGGACTCTCCTGGAGGACCTCTTGGAGGCCTCTTGGGCCGTCTGGGAGGCCTCTGGGGGGCCTCTTGGGCCGTCTTGGGCCGTCTTGGACTCTCTTGGGCCGTTTTGGAGGCCGTCTTGGACCATCTCGGGCGGGCTTGGAGGCCATCTTGGGCCATCTTCGCGATTTTTTGAGGATGTCCCGAGCGAAACGGCCGTTTTTGGGCATTGACAGACGCATTTTGGGAAACGCGCGGGTGGCCGGCGGGACGGGCCGAAGCCCACTGGGGAGTTCTTTTAGAAAAAAAACCAAAACCAAAACTGAATCATCCAGCACGCCGTGCACCCCTGCAAGCAGGGGGCGGCGGATCCAGAGGCCTTCGGCCTATCCCACCACCGTGCGTGGGTGGTGGGTCAGAGGCCTCATGGACGCTGGTTGGGATCTCGTGGTTGGCTGGGACCTCTGGGGGCCTCTTGGGGGCCTCTTGGGGCTTCTTGGGGGCCTCTTGGGCCTCTTGGGGCCACTTGGGGGCCTCTTGGGGGTCTCTTGGGAGTCTCTTGGGGCTTCTTGGGGGCCTCTTCTGGGCCCCTTGGGGCCTCTTGGAGGCCTCTTCGGAGCCTCTTGGTGCGGGAGGGGTGGCACTCGAGTTCGGAACTCCCTCGGAGGCCACGATCCTTGTGAGGGGTGTCAAAAAACGCATCCGCCGGAAACTCGCAACGCCCCCCCCCCACTCCCCCTTCCCCGGCAGAGCCACCCCGGCAACCCCCCCAGAGGCTGAGGCTCAGCCTCGAAGCTGTAGCTGAGACTCCTTGAAACTCACACGCCAGATCGGCGGATTTATTCAGAAATCGCTCTCCCGGCGCTCTGCAGTCGCGCTCTCGCTGGAGACTTGCTTGCAACTTACTGAAGATTGGCCTTGCGTTGGAATTTCTTGCAATTTGCCCAAGCGCCGCGCTCCCGACACCCAGGCACCCTGGAGTCGCGCCCGTTGTGGCCCCATGTGCATGCCCTTTGTGGCCCCGCTGTCGCCATTTGTGTCCCCTTCACTGTCCTACGTGGCCCAGTTGCTACCCTCAGTGGCCCCATAGTTGCCTTCTGTGGCCCCGCATTATCTGCACTTCGTGGCCCCCGCTCGTTCGCGCTCTTCGTGGCCCCATACGCATTCCCTTCGTGTCCCCGCTGTCGTCCTTCGTGGCCTACTTCGTGCCCTTCGTGGCCCTGCTGTCGTTCTCTCTCTCGCTCTCGCTTTCGCTCGTCGTCGCCGTCGTCGTCGTCGTCGTCGTCGTCGCCGTCGTCTTCGACGTCGTCGTCGTCGTCGTCGTCGTCGTCGTCGTCGTCGTCGTCGTCGTGTCGGTCC